TATATGGGGCTTGAAAAAGTACAGCCTGTACGAAAGCAAATGTTGGGCATGAATTAACAATCCCAACTTTAAAAATAATAAATGGATAATACCTAGTTGAGGATTTACCCGTTAAGCTCTTTAAAAATAAATCTAAAGAAAGATCAGGCATTGCAATGCACAGTAGTAAAAACGCGGTCAAGACTAAATCATTAACTAATACATTGTATTCTGTTTTTCTTTTTAGACCTCCAAAAGGAAGCGTGGCTACATTAAGAATAAACTAATTTTAAAGAAAGGCAAGAGACCCAACAGGAAGACAGTTTAAATACACTGTTCTGATCGCTAATACGAAGCAGTTGTCCTTGAGATAACCAGTCTTTGCCTTTAGCTCGAGTCATGTTTCACAGCAACATGAGGGTACAGAACCATCATTGGTCCAGATTATTGTACAAAATTTTTCAGGCAATGTCTGATTAAAAATATTGGCTTATTGAGAACAGCTGTTTTAGATTTGTAATGTGAAGCAAGACAGAGCTGCTATACAAGTCTAGCAGCATTTTTTTTATTGGTACATATTATCCTTCAAATCTGTTGAGAATTTGGACTGACTGCACCAAAGAACCCTGTAATTTGGTCCTTGGCACATGCATACTTGTCAATCTTTTTTGGAAAACACTGTTCAGCTGAATAGCAGCAGTATGTTAACTGGAATGGTCAAATCTAAAATGACTTGTTTTCAGCAATTAAGAGGAAATAGAGCTGTCTTTGGAATTAAACGTTCAGAATAAGTTACTCCCGCTATTACTTTGCTATGGTTTCTTTAAATGTCCTTTTACTCTTGCTGCAGGCTGGTTTTGATCTGGAGTGTAAGAAGCAAAGCTGCAGTTTCCACAGGAGCTGACAGGACATATCAATTGGGTGACAGCTCAGATGGGACAAGCTGCTTTTGTTTCATACGTGATTGCAGTATTGCTGCCTCACACTATCACTTCATAAGGTAGACAAGGCAAATCTTGCACATTGTAGATACAAGGGCTAAATTTGTATCCTGAAAGATCTGAAATGACAGTAATGAATGCTACAGTAATGTATAACTGAGCACCATACAGTGGCTGGTGCTTCAGAACAGAAATTAAACTATTTTAGGTAAATGTTTACATTGATAAAACAAGTGTAGCCTATTTAAGGAAAAAAAAAAAAAAGGTTGACAGGTATACAAAACCCCTTTTCTGTGGCTATCAGTAGTAGAGGGTTTGCAAACCTCTTCCCCCTCTCACTGCCTTCTCTTGTGAGGGTAAAAAAGTTTTTTTCTGGAAATCTATTTCTCTGCATTTTTATTTAGAGTGCTTAAATCAATTGAAGAAATTCCTGCTATAGCGCTATTTGCTTTGTCTGTCTTTTATACTGTTTTTTTTTTGTTTTGTTTTTTTTAAGGAAAAAAGTGGTGAAAACTGTCAGATTAAATGCACTAAGATAATATAAATGGAGACTGAACATGTTCACTTTCCAGCTATAGGAAAACTTTATACAGACTTGAAATTTTTCTTTTAATAAAATGAAAGAAAGGGTTTTGCAGTTTGTTTTCCTGCCACAGGTTGTAACTTTTTATAGAAACAAAACTTACATCAATAATTTGATGTAAAATGCAGAATAGTATGTACCTTTCATGAAGAAAATGTAAATTTACAGTGTTCTTATGAGAATGTTACTGCTGACTTCTTTCCCAAGGTGTAGAATATTTTTTTTGATTTATGAACTCATTTTTGACTTCAGTGGTTTATACAGACCAATACTACAGCTGCAACATTTTCACAAAGGTAATTAAATCTGGATTTCTGGCCCCTTGTCATTTGGAGATTTCATTTTATTTTGTTGCTTTAAAGCTCAATGCAGACCAGTTGTTGACTGTAGGGGAAAATAAAGTTAATTCAAGTTTTGTGTTAAGGGTGTCGTGTCAGTTTTGTTGTGATTCACTCAGTAACATGATACTTACAGTCCTAGCAATGAATTAAGGCATTCAAACTCTAAAGTTGCTGACCTCATGAAATTGCTGCAATGAAGCCACAGCAGCTACTTAATAAATCTAAGCTGGAAGGATGTTATATGAAATATAGGACCCCTGCTGTGATGAAATCCAAGGTGGCTGTACGTAGTTTCAGGGAACACAAGCTTCAGCAAATGCTGCTAGCATCTAGGGAAGTTTAAGCTGCTGTAGTTTCTTGCTTCTTCCAAGGAAATGTACATCCTGTCTCCTCAACAGCAGTAGAAATAAGCAAACACTTGAAAGAACATCCTAAAGTCAGCTGAATAGATGCTGCTGGTTTATTTAGCAATAAAAAAAAAAGTACCAGTACCTTTCCCTCCTTAAAGGTTTTTACAGTTCTGTCAAAATACATTTCCTATTTTAGAAATTTCCTATTTCTGTAATAGAGCAGAAATAATACTAATTTTATAGCATTTTTTTAAAGCAATAAGAAGGTAACTACAGGAGTCCTAGCCAGCCTGGGCCCAAATCTGACTGTTACTTACCTGAATGGTCTTAAATCTAATTTGATTTCAAGTTTTTTTGCTACTGGTCTGCATTTAAATGAAAAGTTGCAAGTTGCTTTGGCATCATTAATACAGCCACTTAAAAATAAATGACCAAAAGAAAAAAAAGAAAAAAAAAAAAACAGCAGGCATGGTATGACCTTCCTTGGTGCCTCACCTGCACGCAGCATCAGTGCCTGCTTCACCACTTGCATCGTAGAAGTACTCAGCTGCAGTAACCTGTAGCTCATCACGCTACAAGAGCTGAACCATCCTTGTACCAGCAAAGGAAAATTCACAAGCATCTGGCGTCATTGCCCAACCTACCTTCCATTCTTGGCTGTTTCCTTAGTTATAGGCCATCCTTCTGGTGTTCTACTGAGTCAAAGGTTGCAGATTTTGGAAGCATAATTGCGACAGTATAGTAAAAAGCTGAAGAAAAAAAAATATTTGAGCCAGGCTCAGACCTTCAGTTGTTAAAAAACTAAGCCTGCAGTCGCTAATAGCAAGTACTGCTGAAGTTCTGTAGCTCTTAGTCATTACACCTGAAAGCAACGAGGCAGCGGTACTAGTGGCTAGCCCAGAAGAAATTATTTTGAGTTGCAGGAAGTAATTCCAAAACGGGGAGCCAGCAGTTATATGTCAACACACTTGAAAAAATACTTCACTGCTTTGACACAGCCCTCTGTTTGTATCCTACCGTGAATAAAATTATCCCACCATGAGTAAAAATTGAAATTAAATCCTATTTGGTTGTGACTAAAACCGTCAGTGACAATGTAGTTAAACCAAACTGTGTACACTACTCCGAGCTGCGGCCCTGCAGCAATGCCGTGACGGGCAAGGAACGCAGCTTTTCTTGTTTCACTGACAGCCAATGTTTGCTGTTTTGCGTTAAAGCGAAGAGTTCTGGCGTGATACTTTCCAATGATGTGGGTGAATGTTTAAAATAAACCAGACCTGGGTTATCCAACGCTCGAAAAATGCAGACCAGGAAGAGTGAAGCATGTTTTTCCCCATGCAAGTGTCCAATAAGGCAGTCATTTAGAGTTGTATTTTAAAAGGTACCTGACTGAGAATTAGTTTAAATGAAGTTATTTTCAGAATCGAGGGAACATCCTACCCTGTTTCCTTTACTGTGACAAAGTAAGGAACACCTTCCCCAGGCTTTCCAAAAGCCACCCAGCCCCATTATCCTGCCACCGTGCTGTCCAACTTAAAACCTATAAGGTGTCTGACAGTATTAACAGAGAGCTAAAAATAAAAACAACAATAAATAAATAAAACATGCCCTGAGCATTGTACTGTGCTCCCAGACCTGAGAATACATGATAGCAGTTAACTTCTTTTTCAATGGAAAGAGCAAGGGCATCCCACTATTAAATGAAACAAATATTTTATTCATGAGCATTGTAATCTTAAATTCACAAATTATGAAAGGAAGGCAAATCAGAAGAGACTGCCAGAGCATCTTTTAAATGATAAAAGGTATAAATTTTCTCTCTGAACATTTCTAATTTAAGAAGAAAAAAAAAAAAAAAAAGATTGCATAGGCTTTCTACAGGTGTGCACAAAAAAAAATGAAGTACATGTAAGGTCTTACATTACAATTCCAAGTGTATACATTGGCTACTTGAAAAGGAAAATAATCACTTGCAAGTCTAAGACAGCTATCAGGAACAACCTATAGAATAAGTCTTAGGAATATTTACTTTTCAGACTTGTAAAATATACAGAACACGTAACTATCAGAAAAATAAAGCGACACTTCTTCTGGATCTCGTTCTGGAATCTCTTGCTGATAGGATCTTTAACGAAAGGACTGTTTTTATGCTCACCTCTCCCAAGTTACTTGGGAAAAGCAACAGTGGTAATGGCATCAGAGGATTCTTCGCAGCATCAAAACGAGACATTTATCAGAGCACAAGTGGAATGTTCTCGGCATGCAGAAACAACCAACCATGCAGCCAGGAAAAATCTCCAATAAATTACAAACATAAAATTATTCAAAATTTGTCTTAAAAGAACGCTACAACATCTCTGTAGCTTGGACAGTCACACCGCCAAAGCTGAAAGAGGTCTACTCTTTCAGGAGCGCAGTCCTGCATGCCTCGCAAGAGGTTTTCAATGGCTGTTGTTAGTGAGTGTGTGGCTTGTTCTTTGGTGTATGAAGTCAGAGATCTGGCAGGAGGTGTTGCATGTGTTTCATTCTGCACTTAGAGTGTTCTTGGTGAGGACATTACAAAGTCTATCAGTACTTCTAGTTACTTATCAGACTAACCTCTAAAGCAGTGGATCCATTGTAAAGTGATTCTTGCAGGTGACAAGGTACGCCTTTTCCTGATGGTACTTGGTAGTAGTTCATGATAACTACAACGGCATCGTTTTGGTGTTGTTACAGAAAAACATCAACTATACCTAAAAATAAGATTTTTCCGTTTTAAAAAAAGTGTCAGGTACAAAACCAAGCTCATACAGTCCGCATTTTCTTAAAAAATAGGATTTAAATAATTTATAACATGAATCTTTCTAATGTGCAAAAAAAAAAAGTATATACAAGCAGACAAAATAGCATTTAGGAGGAAAGGGGGGCACAGACCTCGTTAAAAAGGGATCTGAAGTTCTGCAAAGATCTGTTAAATATGTCCAAATGAACAACTAATGCCATTTAGCCTTGTGTACACACCTTTGTTTAGCCTTTTGGGTTGCTTAAGAGATTTTAATATCTAGCAAAAAAAATAAAGCATTATAAAATGCAAGACACAAGAACAGATAAAAGCAGTACTTTGACCTAAATATATTAGTGTAGTATCTATAAAGCAACAGCTGTTGTATTAAGAAAGCAGACAAAAGGCACAAAATTAATCAGTACTACCGAAAAGTAAGCATCCATGCTACTGTATGTTAGAAATATAGTGGTTTCTTTACGGGGAGCTGTAAAAGAAGCACTGAGCAGAAGTCAGCACATTTTACACTTGCCTTTTGCTGTCACTTCTCTCAAAAACATCTTCACTTGTAACAAATACAAACTAAAAAGCAGCGAAGCTTTAGCACGTTTCTAGAATCCACCTTCTTAGTGTCACAGTGGTTATCTGACAAAGCAAGATCAAGCTACAGGATTGTTTACTCCTTTATTTTATGAAACAAGTTACATCCCATTTCATTTGTTTCATTAATAAAGTTCTTATTTCAGTAGTGATTTACTAAATCGTTACTTCAACATCAGAAAATCATTTCTCTGAAAAAGCTACTTGTCTTCTACTCATGAGGAACCATCCAAAAACGATCACCTGGGCCAAAAGCAAAAGAAATGAAAACACGGGTCTGCTCGAAGCCTGAACGAGGAGGAATTAAGGGCTCTCTCATTTCATAGCAGCGATGCACAGCAGCAGTGTCTCAGCTGCTGGGGGAGGAGCAGACCCACCAAAGCAGCACATCAGAGCAGGACCCCTACCCCGCCTCACCTGCCTCAACTCACAGCCTGGCACGTGAGCGAAAATGCATCAGCAGTGGTTTAATTTGAAAGGCAAGGCTGCGAACTGGGGTGCCTCAGACCCAGACAATGTCAGGGTGGAAAGCTGAGGCAAAAACAGCGTAACCCAAAAGCACTGGCATGGCAACAGCCAAAGAACATCGCACGGCAAGACCAAAAGCAGCTGGCTCACAAGTGACCGGAGACTGATTAAACGTGTGGCAGTAGGAACAAACAAAAAACTGAGGACACAGCGGGTTAGTGCGACCAACAGAAGTTCTTGAGAAGGTATTGCTACTTGGCGGCAGAAAATTCATACTCGTAAGTGACAGGAAACATGCTCCTAAATCAGCACCCCACAGAGCGCGCTGCCAATGTGTCATTCGCGTGTCGAGGTGAGTTATTCAATGACTGTTTAGACCGAAGGACTGCCATTGAGTGACGTCACGTTTTAAGTGCAAAACTTTTTTGGCAAAAGTGAAAAATAGAAAACCTTAACCAGTACTAATAAAAAAGTGTGTGTTTTTTTTTAAATTCTAGCGTAGGGCCTGATCCTGCAAGCACACAACTCGGGGAACCCTCGCTGATTCCAGCTCGAGTCCTATGCCCGAACATGTAGAGGATAAGGTCTTTAAATCACCGTTAGTGTTTCTACTTTGTTGACGTGTAGTGTAAGTAATACACACACAAACACACATGCATACTGTGTGTGTATATGTGTATAGATGTACATGCGCACAGCTGTTTGTGTATCCATACACACAAAATGGCTCCTGAATAAACTTGAGCTTGTGGTTTTTCTGAGATGCACTGTTCACAGTATATAGCTTCTCATTTGTGTCTTCTGAGAACAGAACCTTTTGAATGACATCTGACAAGTTATATACTGTTTCCTTTTAATGCCTTTAAGGTAAAGTTATAAGACATCTCCTCTATCTTGTCAAAGGGTCTTCCAGAGAGGATTCAAGTATAGCCAACCATCGCCCTGTAAGAAAATTAGGGAGAGTTTACAAACAAGATTTATACATACTGAACCTGCGTATCTCCACACAAAAGCTAAAATACCACCAATCAACACACAAAAAGCTCCATCCCTGTCATCTGAAAATTCTGCGTTTAATGAATTTACAGGTAATTTGGGCAGAAGGGAAAAAAGTTCCAAAGGGGAACAGAAGCAATGGGAAGATGCAACAGATGAACTCCGGGTTTACACAGATGCACATGCTGGCTGACTTAACAAGTCATGTAATAATTCTCTCAAAGTCTAACTTGCTTCTCCTTTCCTCTAAGAAAGAACAAAGATGAACTTAGTACAATCTATCTCATTTCAAGCATGATAAAACCCAAGACTGTTTAGACTGTCCATGCTTGCTTACATTGGACAATTATCCTTAGATCACATTCACCTGAATACGCTAAGAACAAGATTAGTAGGAGACGTGACTACAGACCATTTGCAAAGCCACGTGTGGGTTTCAAGGTAAAAAGCACAGCTTTAGGTGCCTAACATTAGGTCTCCAAAATTCATTGCTAAATTAAATCTAACTTGAAGGACTGAAGGAAGGTGAAGGAGTCTATCAAACAAGCATGGAATAATCCACTGCTCTTCTCTAAAAGCCATACTCTACTAAAAATTAAAAATTAAAAATAAAATAAAAAATCAGTGATATATAACAACGCTAGCCCATGGTAAGAAATACAAACATGTTCATTTGTACTAGCACCCCACAACATGCACAAAGATGCTATTGGACCCTTAAGGAAAAGCTGATACAAGTACCTCTTTGGCAAAATATTTTGGTTTCCAGGGCATTGTAAGAGCCATACGTTGCCTCTCCTCTGCTCGCTGCCTCTCTTCAAGGTGGTGCTTGTGTTCTGTTGCTGCATCGATATTACCTTCTTTCAGAGAATTGGTGACATATTGCCAAAGGTGCCTGTGTGATTGGGAAGGAGCAAAAGCAACAGAGTAAGAATACTTTTGCCATAGCCTGGCGCCAGTAGCAAAGCAAGGGTCAGACTGATGGCACCAAGCTATTTCTGCAAGTTGTGTAGCTTGTGAACCACCACTTTCAGGAGAATATTCATTTGTTGACCAGATTTTCAGACACGCTCAGTTCCCAGGAACCTATCATGCAAGTTAACTTTCTCCACAGCTTTTGTTCATGTTCTTGACTCTTTATGACCTGACCGTTTTTCTCAAAACTGATGGATTTTCTCTTTCATTTCCTGTTCACATTATTTACTGATGACCTACCCCAAATGATAAACATCTATTCTGCATTTATTTGGAGAAAACTTTTCAATTTTAAGGGAACATTAGACAAAAGCTAAGAGCACATGACACTGGGACACTCACTGACTGTTCCCACCAGGTTATTAACAGAAGACTTGATGTACATGACTCAGCATGCACAAGGTCTACACTGTATTTCCAGCTGAGGATAATTATCAGTACATAACCCAATTTGTTTTTCACCGTGACTGACAGTATTCAGATGCAATGCCTCCTCACACTATATGAGCTTAGCAACAACTTTGCCCAGGAAAAGTATCTAAGAATATGACTGCAACTTTCACATCTTTCCAGGGGTATTTAGATGAGTTTGTTTACAATCTGATGAGCTGCATATCCTGCAGAAACACTGGGTCATTATAATTTGCTATCTAGTGTCAAAAACACAACGAATATATTGCAGAGTTGCTGGTTTCCTGATTTACTCCAACTCTGTTATTAACCTACACTGAAAAATGAGTTTGTGATAAACAAGCGTGTCCAGAAAGTAGAAAATAACATCTGACCCTGCACAAAGGCTCAAGATGCACCTTTGTACAATAAAAATATATTTACAGATTATAAAATTAAATTTTACTCATGTTTTTTAAATCCTCCAATAAAATGTTCCTAAATTCAATAAAAATATTGATTCTTCTGAAGATAAATGTAAACTGTTATTGACAGCGAATAAAGGTTTTTTCTAAGGTACCTAGTCAGAATTAGGCACATGACGAGTTCTCACAGCCTAAAAACACATATGGATGTGTATTCATGTGTCACATCACACTTTACATTTACATACATATATATTGTGTGCTTATATATTACGTATATATATGAAATCCATAAAATCTGAAGTTCCAGCGTGAGCTGTAAGATGCAAAATTACCGAGCCTGACTGAATTTAAGAAGAGATTGGACTGTGCACTTAGTCACATGGTCTGAACTTTTGGGTAGACCTGTGCGGTGTCAAGAGTTGGACTTGATGATCCTTAAGGGTCCCTTCCAACTCAGGATATTCTATGATTCTATGATTCTATGACTAATTTGACTACCATTTACAATCAAAGAAGCATGTAGAAGACCACATCACCCAGTTCCCAAATACTCATTAAAATGCATACAAGCATTTTTTTCCCCTAGAAAATTTATGTATATATCACAGCAATGTAATTTATAAACCAAAGAACCAACACGCAGCTTTCAGCTCTTTCTGCCTAGATTAACATGCTATATGATAGCAGGAGTTTTTTGAACCATGCCATTTATAACTGCGGTTTGTTTCACCACTGTTTTCATCTGAGGTTAAGCAGCACAGTACTGTAATGCCTCTGCCTTTACCTTGATTCCAGTGGGCCTTGTTTTGCTATTGGCCTTATCTTTTTCCTGATAACGGGTAATTTGTTGGTGTCAATCACTTTGGTTTCTCCGTTGCTGTACGTAAATTCCAGCGTACCGTTCCATTCTCCCTGCGCCTTGCACACAATGGTATTAGTGGGATTATGTTTCACTTCAGCTGTAACCCTAACACAAGAAGGAAAAGAAAAAGGCTACAAAAGATATAACTGGCACCATTTATTATCAGCATTTGAAAGCTCTAGCACTGCATGGCTACATGCAACTTTTTACATCTACAATATAGTATTTCAAACATAAAGACACTGTCCCCCAAAAGATTCAACCTACAAAAGCTCTGCTAACACAGCACTAACTTTGGGACCACATTCTCCCAAAGTACAGCAGTACCCCAGCTTAAAACCCAGAACTGCTTATCTCATCAGCATGAAAAACAACCAAAACCAACTGACATTCACAGTGAAATTGTCAGTACAAGATACTTGAAGTTCATTTTTCACACCTGAACCTAATAGTTGTCAGATACCTGTAAAAGACTTCAGGTATCTTTATTTCTTATTTAGATCTGCACAGTCTCACAGCTGCTGTGAGGCAGTATTAAAGTCACCTCAGTGACTCAGGAACTAGTTTAAGAGTGAGCAAAATAGACAGGTAGGACTAGAAAACCAAAACAGAGGGAGGAGTTTCTTGTGTCTGTGTCTGTATGAAAATGCACACATGTTTTTAGTAATTCATATCAAGTAAACTCAATTAAGTTTTTAAATGATTAAACTAATACAGCAAAACCTTCCCCAAATTTTCACTTATTTTGATGGGTACCAATTATTAATCTGCACCTTTCAGAAAAATTCCCATCAAAACAGCCCATCAGCTCTTCTAACACGACTTGCACAAAAGCAGCAGCTGGTGTAGCACAAATATTACTTTTTTTTAATGTATATTTTTGCTGATCCTGCACTGTGCACAGGTATTTAGGTTATAACAGGGGGCAAGCCATTTAAATACCTGACAGCAATTTTTACAGGTGGAAAAGCCTGGAAGAATACATTGACTTTAGTTCAACAAGAGATATTTATCTAATTTGGTTAAATGACATGAAATGTGTAACTACTATAAACTGCACTCTAAAGCTTAAGCCTCCTCAGGCATTAACAGGAAAATAAATAGATATTTTTCTACAAAACAAACCAATAGAAGAGCCAAACAGATGTCAAAGTAAGTTTTTCCTTTGAAATCCAGTATCAGGTCAACAAGAATAAAAGTAATTCCCTTACCTGTGGACTTTCCCCCCATAGAAGGGTTTGGTGTGGAACGTGACCGTAGCAGAATAGCCTGTCCTGGCACAGTTGATGTTGACTTTCCCTCCAAGCTCCACCCATGGGATGGTGAGTATCGAGCGAGCGTAGGCACTGGGGAGTGTGAAAACATACTCTTCTTCGTGCTCCAGCAAGTGAAGAACACCTAGGCAAGGAGGAGGTTGAAAGTGAAATGATTAAAGCTCGTTGGTAAGGCCTGACAGTCACTGATCAAATACTGCCATCACAACAGTACTTCTACACTGTGCAACCTGCCTTGAAGGAGGGTACTGTTTGCTAAGAAAAGCCCTGCTCTCTCAAAGAAGTTTCTTCAAACGAGCATTTTCAAATCACCTAATTCTAACGTGTGCCTCTGGTTCTTCCTAGTGCCAAATGGCCTATCAGAAAATCTGGCTGGATTACTTATTCTGTCTCACTGCCAAGCAATAAACTGCTGAACCTGAAAATAAGTCACATTCTCTTGAAGAAAATAAAACGAAAAGGCCCCCCACCAACCGAATGAGCTCTGGGTGCTCATTTAGGCACGGCCAAAGGGCCCTTCGGCTCTCCAGTTCAGTCAGATACCACCAGCTGCTCTCTGCTAGCTGCTGGCCCACTGTTTGCTGGTAGGAACAAAAAGAGGTCAGGCTGGGTGCGACTGGGAGCTGGGCTTAAGGAAGCCACCTAGAAATTTCCTAGAAGCTTGCTCCTTTTCCCCAAAATGCCTGGTTTCCCACGTAGCCTTTGCAAAAGTCTGGCATTATCAATGAGGGGCCACTTCTCTGCTGCCACTGAGACCAAACTCTCTATGATGCACAGAAAGTTGCTGGCAGCAGAAAATTCCCATATTATTTGGACCTACAAAGAAAGTTCCAAGTCTGATCAGAAGACCTTAGCTTCCCCTAAGGTTCTTGACACAGCTCCATCCCCACCATAGCTGTAGTTTGGTTTTTAGGATGGCAAAGAAGGGGATATAAGACATAAGATCAGGTAAACGGCAACAGTAAACCCTGCACGCAGAATTGGCCAATGCCAACTGTGTGTATTATATTTTTATTAGAGTTTTACGCTCCTTTATATCCCATTTAATAACTGTCTAAAGGCAAAAATTATACTTTGAAAACTTTTTTTCGCAACAGGGATTGAAAATAACCAATCCCGGGAAGTACTCAGACCCCAGAAACGTTCACAAAATCAGGAAAATTGTCTTGACACACAAACAGTAACAGCATCTGTTTAGCAACGAGATGAGCTTAAGCCAATTTACCCTCACCCTGGGGCAGAGAGGGGAGAACGGCAACGCGTTACCAGCTGTATTTATGAGTCTGTCTGTGCGTTGAAGGCAGTAACAACACATCTTGCAAATTGATCTGGAACGTAATGATGAAAAAGCACCGAGTAGGAGCAAGCTACTAGTAATGTCAACATAAAAATATGCCCTTAACGCTGTACGGCAACACAAGTCTAAATAACACTCAGAATTTAGCAGCGCGGCACTCAGAGTCATCATTTTAAATATCGGCTCCGACTGCTAGAACAAAATCCAGCTCTGCTGCATTTTTTTCTCTAGAACAGAGATCCCCGTGTTTCGCCTGAAGTTTCTTCAGTTGCACACCTGCAGGTAAACCAAGCTCATGGCAGGAAGGCTGAGCTACAAAATTCATCCAGGACACTCACCAGGAAGAACTTTTACTCAAAAAGAAGGCTGTGCTCATTGCAGAGCTCACTAAATGGCTGCTACAACGACATTAGATTAATAGAGAACAATAACGAAGCTTTTCACCAAGCTGATGATATTAAAAAATGGCAAGCTAGTGGCTGCCAACACGCAGAAAGGAAACCTGACAGTCTGCAGCTGACCAGTTTCTACCCAGAGGATTGTAACAGGTTTTAGACCAAGTCCCTTGGTCTAAAAGGGACTTGGTCTAAAGGAGGCTGGAGCTCCCCTTTTCCCACAAGCAGGGGATAGCAGTGAGGTGCTCAGACACCAAGGGCATGGTCAGGAGTTGAGAGGCTAGGAGCCAGGTTCTGCAGAAATCGAGTTTGCAGATGCCCTTTTTTTTTTCCTCCCTTTCTCCTCCATTTATTCTCTGCCTTCTTCATTACAGCCACAGGCAGCAGCCGTAGCAGGAACCAGCTGTGGGAAATGGCACGGCCTGTGGTGCTGCCATCAGGTCGCATCACATCAAAGCAGCCTTAATGGTCTAAGCACAGACAAAACCCTCACACAGTCCAAAAAAAAACCACCTGAAAGCACTGGCTTCCAGCATGAAGGTCTAATACCAGTACCACTGTCAAGCAGAGTGCTCCTCACTGTGTTTTAGGAGCCACAACTTCACGTGAGCTTCTGCAGAGCCTCCTGCTTCTCAGGGCCCAGCCACCCTCCTCTGATGTGAGAGGGAGCTGCCATGGGGCGAGCTGGTTTTTGTCTCTCTGATGGGATCAAAAGCTTTATTTCTGCGTACAGGAGTGGGAGGGACGTGGAGCTCTAATGAAAAGTGAACAGCAAATAGCAGCGGTGACCTTCACTGTAAATATTTGACAACCACAACAGGTTAGGTATTAAAAACTGAGCCAGCTCCCTTAGCAGTATTTTTGTTGAGCATTTGGTAGTGTGCTTTTTGAATTCCTGAAACACCTGAATAAACACATCTTTAATGAAGCGCTGCCTCACTCCAGCTCAATAATTGCGATCTAAAAAAGAATAAAGGAAAGATTTGAGATACCCACAGCTTGACAGCCCTTTCAGCACTAGCAGGTGACCCCAAGTTTCCACTCCACTGTTTGCAGAGTCCACGTGCAAAACCTCCTGTACCTGAAGCACCACGAAGACTGGAGCTGCACCACCACGTCTGAACCAAACCCTGTGCTCTCCTTCAGAGGAAGCCAAAATGACACAGGGACATCTATATCACAATTGGATTTCACACTTTAACCCACCAAATTTAGATCTTGAGACATGAAAAAGCATGGAAACGAAAACCTAACAGTTAGTTTTAAAAGTGGGGTGTGCTCCTAGCATCCACTTTTAAGTAAAATTTCATTGTGACTGACAGATGTGACTGTAGGGGATTGTTCATTTCATGTTTAAAAAAATCACTCTAAGTAAATAGATATGAAAAGTTGCAGAAGATTCTCCCATTTTCACTACGATTTCCTCTTCATTAACTCTTTTGGAAACTGCAGATTCCTTCCAACAAACTTAAGCATTTATGGGCAGCTACGACAAAAGGAGGATGCACCAGATAAGTACTCTGGGAAGAAAAGTGGATTTAGTAATCTAGCCTATTATTAGAAAAAATCCTGTGGAGAAGGGTGAATATTTGGTAAACAAGTGCTGAATTTTGAAATGCCACCCTCGAAATGTCCTCAACACCATTTCCTCCTGCTTTTAGGACAAGGTATTCACGGCCATGCTCCTTTCCACGCCTCCCCAGCCTCCACGAAGGGAAGCGCTGTTCGCAGCATCTGATTTTGCCCCTTTGACAACTGCATGTCCCTCACTGCTGCTGGAGCTTTGTGAATTGATTTTCCAGTACCGCACATTGATGGAATACCCAGAGGAGGCTCTGGATCGATAACTGCAGAAGAGGCATGTGAAATTTAATGCTTCCCATTGATTGTTTGGAGATCAATCTGAACAACAAATGGTATGTGGGTCATAAATGGCCCAGGGCAGTTTCCTGATTTAACAGGCTCTTCATGCTGCATTATTCATAACAGAGCAGAACAAGGCTAAGTTACACAGATGCAGCTCATCACCAGCCACACCAGAGAAACACAAGACACCAGTACCAGGCCCTCATCATCTCATAAACGTTGTAGCCAGCTGCTCTGCACTGCTCAGTTTCCAAAAACTGCAGACATTTGCTAAATTAAGTAGTGAGTACCATGTCATACAAAAATATTCTGAAACCACTGAGCTAAAAAAAATAAAGAAATTAGTACTAGGGCAATATTTTGGTAGTTCCAGTTGCATGGAGCAGTCAATCTTCAGGGCTGGTAAATTAAAAAGTCACTTATGCTTCAGGAATAGAAATTATAGATCTGTACGTGCACAAATATGTACATATGCATACATATACTTGAAAAAAAAATATGAAAAGAACACTTGTTGCTTTCATTTAGATTTACCCTGGAAAGAGCACTGAACCTTTTCCTTACCTATCAAACCTTTTCAAGGTTGATTTCAGTTTTTAAAATAAATTTCGAGGCGTTTCTGAGGAGTTTTTAAAGCATTTAAAATAGCAGGGGTAAAATTACAAGCCACAACTAGCCACTTGATGGTACAGAGCAAACCAGTTAAAACTATTTTATGTTCTCTGTAAAATTAACCAGTGAATCAAATTTTGGAACTAAAACCATCAGCAGAACAGGAGCCCACGCTGAGGTGTGCTCAGCACATCCTCTTCTGCTAGAAAACCCTTATCTTACAATCAGTATGTGTTTAAAGATCCTTTGGACCATGTAAAACACATTAAATATTTACTTTGACTCTTCCATCTCTTGCTAATTTAAATCCTAATACAATTCTATTCATTACACCCTCTTCCCCTCCCTCGCTCTCTCATTAGTACGTAATTAACATTAACCAGAATTAGGGACTGTGCATGCAACGTGAATTCTTATATGCAAAACACTCTCTCTCCTACCCTGCTTTCTCCCGAGGAAACTCAGCTCTGGCTGCTCTGAAGAACCGAACGTTTTTTGTCATAGAGCGAAGGAAAAGTTGAGACATTTCTCTAACAAAACAGATGCAGAGCTTTGGGAAGCAGAGATGAAGGGACTACCAGAGAAGGCTGCTTCTCACACGGGTTTCCAGCAGTGCCTGCCTACGCGCTCTGCATCTCTGCAGCTGATATTTACTTTGAATTAACAAATAAAAAATCATAGGGAAAAAAATCTTAGCCACTTCGAGAGGCAGCACACACGAAGTATTGTGCAATTAGGATCCTGAGCTGCACCATTTGTATGATGGATCCATACTGCCCTCAGATCTACCTGTTATTTAAATCCTTACAGAAGCCTTTGCAATTCCATGACGTCCTGTTTCGGCGTATCCACTGCTGCTTCTCACACCGAGGGATAAAAAGCAACACGCTCTACACATCTAAGGACATTAAGACTAGTTAAAAAAAATACTTCCAAAAAGCATCACAGACATGTTAACATACTCCTTACACAATATAGGTCCCCAAATTCAGTACTACCCTATTTGTGTAAATAGCCCAAATTAATATGAAAAGCTTTGTTCAATTGCTTGCAGGCCACACGAAAAAAATTCAGGAGGGAGTAAAGTTTCAAAACAGAGCATGGCTGTTTGCATTCATGCTAAGGTCACAACAAAGGTAGAGGTCAAACAAAATCCTTCTGTTAAATATCTGAACTAGAACAAGGTGGTTGCTCCTAGCACTAAATTACCTGATACATGAATGCAGCGTAAGTTTGTGTCTCTACTGCTCTGTTGTGAAGGATTTTTTTCCACATATATCAAAGAGTACTGAACAAATACACAGGGTAATGAAACTACCGTGTCAACACCAGCGTGATTTAAATGCAGCCTCAGGAAGGTCATAGGCATACTAGAGATATCAGGGAAACTGCCTTTTCAGAATCTAAAATCCTTACTGACCTAGCAAATAGTCAGAGGCATCCACGCGTATGGAAGCAAACTCTACAGGTTATTTTAGACACTTGCCAATGTCACTGAGTATGTCCTACAAGAGCCAGGAGAAGAAGCTGAATGCTCATAACGAAAAAGAGGAGGACAGAAAAAAATATCAACAACAGAACATGATTAATTAGGTCATCCAGTACACAGCGGCAAAACCAGAAATGCACAAACAAAAGCCAGGATTTCCATGAATCACGAGATGTCAGTTTGTCTGCTATCAAAAGCAGGATCAGTCATACTTCAATCATTCCTGAGAAACTTGCTTAACCTGGTTTTAACAGCTTGTACCAGTAAGGTTATACAACCTTCCCAGCCAACTTCATTGTGAGAAAGCTTCTGGTAGCTAACTCTACCTGAACTACCTCTTAACTACCTCTTTCCATACCTTCTGACTGACCACGTGCCTCCATCTACTCTTCGCTAGACGAACTCCATTTGAGATGCTGCTACGTGTAAATCGTCCTTAAATAACAAGAAAATCCTTCAAATCATGTTTCACATCAACAAATTACCAGGCTCTACATTACCAGAGACACAAAATGACAGTTTTTCCACGCTGTGAGCCCAGCTGCTACTTTTTATTGGTTCTGCAATATATTCCCCAGCACTCACGCTAAGCTCAGCCTAATGCAGACTTTATACTTATGTAAGACGTGATAAAAAATGGCTGTAGCAGCTTCTCATTTTCGCACAGCTTGACAAATCTACACACCAGCTTTGTTAGGAAGACTTCCCTTGAACTAAAAGAAAAGAAAAAAACTATACATTTGAATAAAGTATAGTCTCGAGTGAAGAAACCACAAGGAGAAGCAAGAATTTTCAACCAAGGCTGTCAGGTTTAGGCTGTTTTCAGATTGTAGAAAAGATTCAGTGGTACAACTTTCTCCCTCTTGTTACCAGTCTTCAGCACGCAACAGAAATACTCGGGCTGTTCTAGAGTTTCTCCATCACTTCACAGAAATGCTGTCACAGTGAATTTGCACACTTCTGGATTGCTTACATGGACCAAAAAGAAAGATGAGTGACAGCTATAAACTGGTAACACCAAACGTCCTCCCCGAGTGCCGACCATAAAGACAGCAGGAAACCTTACAATGAAAGGTTCCCCATTACAGATGCTCCCCAAAGCCAGCCTCTGCTGCTGGGATCTCTGCAGGGTTATGAAAAAAAAGAAAGGGGGGAAATGGGTAAGGGAGGGTAGGAAGGGAATTTGTTCTCACAAACACAAATTAAACAATCCCTGGAGTAGGGAAGCAGTTAATTCCTAGACCCTTCTCTCTCAAAACTGGGACACATCAGGACTTTGAAGTCTTAAATAATCCCCACAGTAGACATCCCCCATGCCAGGGAACTGCGTGTGCTAGCAGCAACAAGAAGAATTTCCCAGCTCCTACATAATCATAAGTGGTTTTCTGTTTGATTTTGATTCCACTAAACAGCTCCCTGCACTGAGAAAACCAGTATCAGAAATAGAGATGTACTGGAAAAACATGGCAAGTGACTCAGGCTGGAAGCAGCACAGTAAGGAGAGGGACAGAAGGACCCATCTCCCTTCTCACACTCCCTTCCCATCTCCCTTAACCTTGTCTAAAATGCAGAAAAGCTCAATCACAGAAAGAAGGAAGCAGCAGCACTGCTACAGCCTTCAACTATAACAACATCAGGTCCAGCAGTGAAGAAGTTTCAAGGCTCTTCCACTTGCGGGTGCGAAGAAGGGAAGCTACTGACATGAGGAACGAAGCTTCTGTAGCTATTTCTACTGCTTGAATTTGTTCTTTACTTCCAGCAGAAACAGCAAAGCATAGCTGTGTGTTTTCAGATATCAGGTGGGTTTTTTTAGTCACCGCAATTGTTTTGTTCCCACTCTACTTCTCTACTGTCTTCAACATTGATTGTATTTAACATAACAATGGCGAAAAGAAGTAATTGCTCTAAGTTGTTCTGCTGCTTCTCTGATTGCTTATTAAGAGTGCAGTCTAAAAACTAGTTAAGACAAAATAGAAAAGCCATACACAGGAAATTATCTTCAAATGGCAAAAGGGACTAAGTCATTTGAAACATTAAATCAATGGATTAGCAGGCAGTAACAACACTGATCCAGGTGTGTTTATCAGTTCAGACCATCTACTAATTAAATTGTTACATTTCCTTGTTTTTCTAAATTCTTGCTGAGCATTAAATTATCACGAAGCAGACCGTGCATGTATGATACAGTAAGTAATGACTTACACCTCACCTACACGACCTGCTGTAAAGCTTGAGACACCACGCCAACTTAGCAAGTGCTATTGAAACCATGATTCTTTACAGAAACTACGAAAAAAAAAATGCTAGGCTTAAGTACAAAGGTATTTTTTCCTATTTCTTTGCTCCAGTTGTGCAACTCTCCACTACCAAATTAGATATTACTTTAAGAGTGAGCAAGACGATGAAAAATGTTTTTACAGAGCACAGCGTCAGCAGATATTTGCTAGTGCAGTTTAACATATGACTGTGCTTCAGACATAATTCACAGCCCCATCCAAATAAGCTTGTTGTTTGGACACCCAGGACATTAGCTAAAGAAAATAAAAGCACATTTCTTACCTTCACCTACCATAGAAACACCTATCGACATGCCCATAAACTTGCTTTTGGTCCATACGTGAGCGTTCACACACATTTTCTTCTCCTTGCACTCACAGTAAAAGCAAGATACCGGCGGATGATGGGACACTTGTTCAGCCACAAACCTCAGCTTGTAGCACGTGGACTGCTCCTGGCCAAACTCCTTGGCTGGGTCCTTAGAAAGCGCAGAGGCACCGTTAGTTCTGACTGGTTTCACTTTATCTTTAGGCACATCCCACGAGCAATGAAACGTTTCACCAATTATAGGGTTATAGGGCTTCTTGGCAACCGCTCCCTTTCGGCCTTCGTGAAAAGCTGTGAGATAATACTCCACAAAGCAGATAATTCTTTCCTCGGGAGTGGCTCCAGCTGCAATTGACAAAAACAGGTCTGGATGGGCCATGAAATTTGCATACATCTCCAGCAGGGATCTTTTCTCCAAAATAAATGTTGGAAGCACTACCTGTATGCAAAGCAGACAAAGGCAGATATGATTTCCCCGTGATCACACTACAGCGAGGCGTAGGGGAGAGAACAGTTAAGACAGCTGCAATTCTGGCCTAGCCACGTTTCAGGATAGCATGTTTTCCTCCCCTCTGCCACAGCAATTTCCTTGTCTTTCTAGTGTAAATAACGAGCAAAGGAAAAAGCAGCAGCCTTGATAGCAGGTGCAGGCTGCTTCCTATTTCATTAGGATTCTCAACAGTAGCTCCAGCAACAGGGAGGTCCTGTTCCCATCACACGAAAATTTTCCTTTTCCTCTCCGCTCAGTTTACTACACGAACCGTTGTTCTTATTTTTCCTGGTTTACAAGGCAAGGGCCATATGACCTAGAATCATTTATTTCTCTCCGTTCCTTGGCCACCTCCACTCCCCCCACCCTCCATACCTGGTGCAGGGGAGATGGGAGGTCACTCCTGTGTGACCAACAAGGGATTTCTGACACACACACACACACACACACCTGGAATCAAGCTGCTCAGTGATGCCAGATGCAGAGCAACTGCTGTCCTCTATTACAGCAATTCTTCTGCTTTCCTCTTTTACCTCCCTTCCTTTTCCTCCTTAATTCTTCGCTTCATTTACTTGTTCCCTTTCCCAGAGGAGAGGCTTACTTAGAGCAGACAATGATCAACCCTTCAAACAAATCCCTTTGCTCCCTACTCTCGCCCTCTGTTATTATTCTAAGTGGGCCCAAAGCACAGTTCAGACCTTTGAATCCCATGGATAATGAAATAGAAGCTGACAAACTTTTATTCCTGACGTAATTATTTCCAAAGAAAACTTATAAATGTGAAAAAATAATCTAGTCACAATGGTTCAGTCTTGATATCATCACAGTAAGGCACACACACAGAAAAAGATCACTGCTCCATTTGGTAACATTCACTCTCCTCCTACACATGTATAAATACTACAGTCATGTATAGGCTAATAGTTTTACAAGCTTAGACATAAATCAAGCAAAGGCCCCTCTGTAATATTCCTCTGACTCTGAAAGCCTCGAGGACTCTACCCAGTCTCTATTACTGAAGTAATAAGGCCCCAAAAGATACCAACACCTTTATTTTACACTATGCGTGGCAAACTCCTGAGTGCTAAATCCAGTCTGCAGTCCCTGTGCTGGTGTGGCAGCGGGGGAGAGGGGCTGAGGAGATTGGTTTTTGAAGGTAAAAGTCAAAAATTTGGAAGGAAAAGTAGAAAGACTGGAGACTTTCTTATGGTATTTTTAGCTTTTGAAACAATTCCTTCTTACTTGCAAAAGTCTCACTCTGACCAAATACCTGTCGTCCGATATCATCTTTAAAAATGCGGTTCAGCATCACTGAGCCTCAACACAGAACCTCATTTGATATGAACTGCACAGTCAAAGAGCAGCTTGTCAAAGGGGAAGCTGACAGCAACACAGCCAACACCTGTGACTTGTCTCTAGAAATACTGGCAGTGACTACCATGAGCTCACTGCACAGGCTTGAAAGGGCAAGAAAACTTAGCCAAATACGAAGCACTGCGTCCCTCTTCATGTCCAAGCAGCTGACTGAGAGTGACCCTTATTAGCGCAAGTGGAGAAGGAAAGGAAGCTATGGACCATGCTCGAGGTGATACAAATTTTACATGATACAACATTACGACTGCTGTGGTTTCATCTTGTTGGCTTGATTGTGGAAATGTAGCCCTCATAACCACTCTTGCAAGCACTAGCTACTTTGCAGCTACTTACTTAACACAGCTCTGCCAACACAGCCACTAAAGTGACTTTACGAACCACTGGTCATTTTTTATTATTCAGGTTCAGCAATCAATTTGAAATTTGAACTCCAGCTCCAATGATCTTGCTCTAAAAGCCCAACTAAAATGGAAACTACACCCTTACCTGTAGCAAGAAAAGCAGCTTTGCAAAACAGAGTAATTGGATTGTTCCCTCAAAAGGAGGCAGAAGTGCATATAAAAAAAAAATAAATTGACTTTCAAAGCTTACACAGCTTCAGTATAACAAAAAATCTCTAGAAAACATTGCCTCTCACTAAATAATCTCATAGCCCTGATATTTCCAACATGCAACACTGCCACAGACAAGCATCATCAAAAAATGACCCTTTTTTTGTTTTTTGTAACTTGTCCCATCTTGATTTCTGCGGAAATAACTAAAATAGAAACAAACAAGTTTGGAAGGTGTGCAGCATTTTTCTTGCGAGCACTGGACTGCCATGCACTTGTGCTAGCGACTCTAGCTTCCAAAAGAATGAGGTTTTCAGCTTTTCTGCCACCAAAGAAAAGGCAGTCTAGAAAAATCAATTAGGATCTAAATTCTTTATATTGGTTTGGACTGCATCATTTGGTTGGGTTTTTGTTGTTGTTATTACATAAAGGTCAAAACTGTCTGATATTATTCTCTGAGGATAAGCTAGCATGACAACTAAATGGACAGAGATCTCTCCAGAACAAATACCAAATTGCCAAAGTCTGAAGCAATGAATCTCCTGACTGCACGCTAAAATGTGAGAATAATCTCCATCCTTACTGGCTCTCAGGCTTCACAGTGAAAAAGAAGTAGTTTAACAGGCATTCTTCCCTTTTTCTGGAGGTTCTTCCTGAAAACAAAGATATTTATCTTCTTGTCAACTATTTACTGTGAGGCAAATGATATGTGTCAGCACTGTTACCCACTTTTTCCTCAGAAACCTGACCGCCATACACCACGCTGAGATTTTCACTACCTTAGAGGGACAAAATCCTTCTACTGTCATCTGTGTCATCACGGGACTAAATAAGGTATTTTCGTCCCACTCAAGTTAGGAACTACAGGATATATTTACTTTGTAATTTTAAAACAGAGGACATTGTGAACAAACTGCAGGGTTAACTTGCACCAGGTTTCTATCCCACAGAACTACTGGCAGCCCTTTATTTTTAGTAGAGTTGTAACCACTTAGGGAAGGTAAGGGAATGCTGGGGGGGGGGAGGGCACCATCCATCTGTACAAACTGTTAGCATTCATTTCAATCCTTTAGATGTCATTTGCCAACGCATTTATTAGGCTGGCAGTGATTTCCAGTACTACTTCTCATTTTTTAAAATGCATTAAGCAATTTAGAGGCACGGTGTTTTGTTTGTTTGGTTGTGTTTTTTTGGTTTTGTTTTTTTCTTGTTTGTTTGTTTTCCAGCAATGTCACTTTTAAGTGATGTGTAAAGTCCAACGTATCAGTTTTGTTCAATGTCCTGCCACCAGGACCTGCTCCCCAACACAGCTCTTGCCAGCAGCTCTTGAAGTCCACTGAGCCACCACTAAGACTATCCTGTTCTAGAAAATCCCCATGCGGATTTAATAATTCACTGTTGTTTTTGGTTTTTTTACTGTTTAATTCTTCATTAAAAGGCATGCCAGCATGACACATTTCAAAAGTGAAGCACCTCTACAGCACTAAATATGGCTGTTAGCACGGTAGGAAATGCATGTCACCACAGGCAAGGCCAACACTAACATAAGCAAGTACCCCTTAGGAAAAGGAAAAGATGCTGTTTCCTCTGATATGATACTAGAGATAATGATCATGCATCCAGAACCAACAGGCAGCAAAGGCTCAGTTTGTTCATGTGTGTATCACCTTACAATCCTGAGCTCCTAGAAGCAACTAAAGAAACAAGCCTGGGGAAAAAGGCAGAGGAAAACACAAACGTATAAAAACATCCTCTGATGTTAGCAACTAATGTGTCACAAGCACTTCCAGCAGAAGCTGACTAGCACCAAGGCTATCTGAAATCTGACATTCACAGGAATAATGAAAACTAAGCAGTGCAGCCAACAAACCGGGCTGTATCGTCACCCGTCTGCGGCCCTAGGGGCCTCATGTCAGTAAGCAAAGTTAATAAAAACAAAACAAAACAAAAAAAAAAGCAGCCAGCTGTCTTGTAATTTTTTATTTTAATCCTTAAAATGGTCAGAAAACTGATGTGCAAATGTGGCATGTCTCATTAATACTCATCATATGTGTATTCGTGCATCACACACACTAGAGAGAGATCTAACTGCCATATGCCTGTTCCTCTTTTCAGGTTGTGGGTATTATATAGACACATCCATGCATACTAATGTTTTACCATGGTACAGAGCTGAAAATACTCACCACTATCCTCAAAAACTGTATAGGAAATGTTATGATAGATATTTACCTCCTTATTTTTCATATAAATGTCTGCATCTCTCTTATTTACAGGAATTATTTTTATTTACATTAATTGTAGGTCTTTGGGGTTTTTGTCTCCTCTGCTGTGACAAAAACATGACACTGGAAATCATGAAAGAAAAATCTTGTTCACTGAAGACAGAATGTTTTAAGGTCACACAAGAATAGCAGATAAGGAATCTCAGTCCGCTTTAAATATTATGGACTCAGACAGCCTTAGCGAACCAAAACAGAAAATAGCAAAAGCTATTAATGATTGAGGAACATAAGAAAAACACCAAAAATGAACTGTACACAATGCCAGACATACTAACAAGTGACAGGTATAAATTATTCACAAATTAAATGACGGAATGTTTGTCCTATTCAGAACAAAACATTAATTTCCGTGTAGCTATTCAAAAGCTATACTTAGTAACAGAACATGGCATTGCTTGGTCTTAAAAATGTAAGTATTTTTAAATACTGTCAATTGTTCCAGAGGAAGCAGAGAAGACTATGGTCAGAAGGCCTTTTTACAAAAGTAATAGTAAAAATAGATTTTGATTAATATATGAGATCAAGGGGAAAGCTGATGTAACTCCTCTAAATATTAACATGCCCGTGAGAAGAACCTGCTATTTAGCAATTTCGCACGCAAGTGTAAATCTCTGGTCATCCCAAACTCCGTTGTTTGTTTGTTTTCTAATTTGTGGAAGGAACAAGGCAGAATAAGCTCTTATTTATAGGAAGTAGGGAAGTAGTTTAAAGACTTTTTTTGTTTGCTTTATAAGTAGAAAACCTTTGTGGAAGGAACAGGTACTCCATATCTTTCAAAAAATCTCCTTGATTATTTATTAATGCCACTTGAATACACAACTATTCAAAAAGATGCATTTCCTGCTTCCAGAACATCTGCATAATTTTCAAAAAGCCAAGGGCTTATAGGAAACTTCTCAGTCACTAAAATCTCTCTGTTCATATCTGTATGGATAAGCTCATAACAATACTGGTTCCAGGACCAGAAGGATGACCTGCTTAGCACAAACAAGGACTGTGACACATTGAAGACTAGCTTCTTTACCTTTTTTTTTTTTTTTTTTAAGCTACCAAGTAATTAAATGGAATTCATTCCACAAAGTGGTAACTTGAACACAAATCTCCATCCATAAAATTGACATTATGGTTCCTCACACACTTGGTGCCCCCTGACTTAGTGTACACATGGGATACATATACAACACATGGTTGATTTGAAAGACTTGGAAAAAATAAAAAGAAAAAAGAAAAATAAAGAAAAGTTTCTAAATCTTTTTGTTTGGTTGTTTTTGTTTGTTTTTGTTACAGTGTCTGCTGTGGCCACTTCATGTGAAATCCTGCCTAACAGACAAGAGGAATCCATAGCTCTCTGAAACCACACCCTTATAAACAGATAAACTACCTTACCTATACGGGAAAACACACAGACACACACACACACGCAAATATTATAAAAAGAGATAGTGTCCATACCCTGGTAAGGTCCATGCCAAGTTTAAGCTGAGAGATGAGATGGAGAATTACACTACGCTGATCTTCCATGACTCCTAAATCCTCCTCTTCATTATCTTCAGTATCTGTCATTTCATCTTCAACTAGGATCAACTCAGAAGCTGAATGCTGAAACGAAAAGAAACATCACCATCTGGACTAAAAGATGCAATATGTTTTTTCCCCACTATATATGTATAAAATGGAGCTGGCTCAAGGGAACAAAAGACAGCCTCTGTTAAAAAAAAATAAAAGTACAAAATTAAAAAAAAAAAGCCAGTGATGTACAGAGTATTTTGATCTTATCCTCAGAACAACTGTGGCAAGTATCATCGGATGCTAATTTACACATTGTCTTCCCATATACACATCGCAGCGATGTCAGCCAAAAAATAAAATAAAAAAGTCATAGCACATTAAAGTAACAGCTTTTCTTTTTATTAAATAGAGGCATACAATTGAAAATGAGTCTTCAAGAAGTTTTTGTAAACCTCTCCAGCAAATATGCACAATTCTCACCCAGGTATTGCATGACCTGATTTCACTTTTTTCCCCTCCTTTCCTCTATCCAAGTTCTGAAGTTAGATATTTAGGTAAGCCTCAAATAAAACGTTAATCACTGCTCATCGACCACTACAGCAAAGACTATCAACAGAAGAAGACAGAGACTATAAAGTACATGACTTTTGGAGAGAATAAATAAATAAATAAATAAAATAAAGAAATGAGACAATTAGATTACTGGGGGTAAGTCAATGCCATGGGTCTTTATGACATTTGCAGCGTTATGCACAATATCACAGCACAATAGCAATGCTGCCCATTTTCCAGACAGCTGAAGATCAAGAGAGAGGCATCATGATGTCTCCCTTCAAGAGGAACTTGACAACAGAAAGGGCTAATGATTTGTGACACTTTATTTCCCTTCAGAGTTTCCAATATATTAACAATAACAGCCCAAACAGGTGGTGGTTTTTTTTTGTTCAATCCACCGAAACCGCTCTGCAAGCCTTCCAGATGCATCCTCAGGTAACTTTGTCTTTAAAATAAAAATAAAAAGTTGGGTTATGCAGCTGAAAAATGTACAGTCCAGAATTTCATTATTCCCCAAGGAGTCCGTGCTGTAACTACCTGCAGAAGTGGGAATTCCTTCATGCTAAGCAGCACATTCCTGCAGGAACAGCCAGCTTGCTGCGTTAAAGGGGAAGGTTTTCAGTTCACTGAAAGTCTTGGCAACTGAAAAGTTTCATTAAAAATAGCTGATAGTCAAAATGAGGTCTCAGAGAAAGTATTTCTGAACAATCACATTAGAGATCCCTCAGGTGAACAACAGCTTGTGTAATGAGAGTGCTTCAGAAATTTATTTACTGTACATTTCCAAGATTTTAATTAAATTTTTATTTCCTTTTGAAAACAAAAAAAAAACCTTTTTTTTTTTTTAATTAAATACATGTTCAGGTGGCTATTCACAAAAGCATACCTATTTGGTGAAATCCAAGGCCATTTAAAAGACACTTTGCAATTACTTTCTTTTTTTTTTTTTTAGAAAGTAGAATATGTAGCTTACGTAAAACAGAAGCTGGAGAGCTGTAACCTCGACAGCTTGGTGCTTTTCAAAAGGACAAAACCCCACTTTCCTCTTCCCACTCCCTCAGCAATTAAAAGAACAGAACGGTAAGCACTTTCCTCCCAAAACACACAGAAGCTGATGCCTTATTGACAGGTTCAATCAACAGAAAGCCTGACAATCTCATCCAAAATTATCAGTCGGGGAGACACAAAACAGCAGAGCCCGGTCCCGTTGTCGGGGCTATAATTCATCTGGAGGGACTGTGGAAAAAGCAGAACTTACAGCAGGCGTTTCCACAGGAGGTTTCCCTTTGATCCAGCTTGACCTCATTGAGAGCACCGAGCTGAATAAGCACTGCTTCTTCTGCTACTGCCATGAACCGAGCTCGCGGCAAACAAGCTCCAGCAGGAATTAATAGTGCGAGGGAAAAGCAAGGGAACCTCCCTTCCTCACTCCCACCCCCTTTTTTTTTTTTTATCCTTGATATCCAACGAGTTTGAGAGTGTGTGCTGGATGTCAATCTGCTCCTTGCATTTCTAGTCACATGGCACTGAGCTCAGGGAGCTTAGCTGCAAACAGCTCCAACGGGGAAAACCTTGCTGCTGTTTCCCAGAGGATATCCCGGTGGGCTGCTCTCCAGGGGTGGACTGGGGGCAGAATGATGGAGAAAGAGAGACAGAGAGACAGAGACAAAGTGCTAACAGGTAACAAGCTTTAAAGTTAACATATAACAGCTCCGTAACTTCTAATATTAACAGCATCAGAAAATCAACAATCAACACATCAACTAGGTCACAGAATGAAAAATACAGAGAATTTCCTTTTGCTTCTGAAGCCTGCACATTCAGCCAGGGATAGAAACCCTTCCTTCCTGCCTGCTAAAGCAGGTATTACCTTTCTGCGCCTTTCAAAGTGCTCCTGACAAAACAACTGCCCCTGGTTGCTCCTGGACAAAACATACACAGCAGGAGGGAGCAGCTCTAGAAGCAGTCTGGCTGTTTAGGAAAGAGGTTTTTGCATTGTTTTAAATGACTTGCTGCTCATCAGGGAGGGTAATCAGTACATCGTAACACTGGGATCAAGCGTGTTTAATGACCATTCTGCAATAAAGACTGTAGTTTTAATTATCTTAGCTATTTTAAGATGTGCAAGGGCACTGAAAATCCCATTGCTCTACTCATTACCACAAGAGCTTTCAACACACTAGCGAGCTCCAGTGCGTGCAGAATGACATCAGTTGTCTGCAGCCTTTCTCATTTTCCAAGGAAATAAGAATTTAAGTGGCAGGTTAAAATTTTCGTCACTGTAACTGAATGGCAGTCACCTTCAGTAAGCAATATCCTTCACATATTTTCTTCTTTTCATTTGCTGTTCTAAGGTACAGAAAACAGAAATTTGGTTTTCAACAAATGCAAACTTTCTTCAAGCAAACAAACCAACAACAAAAACACACACCACCACCTAAGCACAACATAGGGTGTTGGGACATGCAGCCACAAAATACAAAGCTTCTGAATCTTTAAAATGCCACGAAAGTACAACCAGGCTTTTATTTCTTCTTCTTTGAACAGAAAATAGTATGCACTTCAGTATAAAAACCTCCACGTAAGCACTCAGCAGAATGCGGAAGATTACACTGATTATCCTTTAATGGCAGCTTTTCTGAATTATTACACATACAACTGATTTTTTTTTCCCCCTTGTAAAATAAAATTGCAAAGCTGAACTAGGAAAGCAGTGAGCTGCTCCATTCCCGTGTGGTCAGTGCCTAAAGTAAAAGCTATTGAGCCGTGCAGCCCAGGCTGGGAACAAACAACAGAGCTGGGCTTGGGGGCCAACCCTGGGAATCAAATACTGAACCTTTTACGAGCAAGTACCAAAGGGCAGCCTACATTTAAACTCATTTTAATCAACAGTGGGCTGAAGTACCATGATTCTTCAGAAAAACCTGAATGAAAACAGCAGGCCACTTCTAGAAATATGTCGTAAGGTTTTAAGCTTCCTGCTTCAGAGTTTAAAAGCAGAAGACGTGAAAACACGCTCTCGAAGTGACCCATTATAAACAAGTCGCTTCATTGGAACTGGGCTCAATTAATTTAGAAAGGTCATCTGCTGGGATAAGAAACTGATGTTCTCGTCAGCGGTCTTCATCAGACGACATGATGATTCTTTGTTAAGATGAAATCTGTACGGGAAAGTAACAGCTGCTGAAGGAAACGCTGCATTTTTTAAAATTCCTCAGGAAAAAGACATTTGCACGACCCTGGGGTAGAATCACGGAGTTAAGAGTTTGTTTCTATCAAAGGGCAAAACTCCCTCTCTTCTTCCAAAGCCTCTTCCACACATTTCAATTTTTTCAAATGTTCTCTGTTGTGCTGCAAATCGATTTTAGATAATTAGCTCAGTGCTAAGGCTCGGGGCTCAATTTCCAACATGCTTCACACGTCGTATCATGCAACAGAGCATGGTATAGATCTTATCTAGTGTATTTGGGGAGTGAGGTAGGAGGTTGTAGAAAACAAAAGCTGCAGAATCACTGCATCATTTAGGTCAGAAGAGATGCTTACTAGTCCAAACCAGCTAGAGTTGGTTGCCCAGGACTGTGTCCAGTTGGGTTTTGAGTAGAGATGGAGAGACTCCACACCTCTGAGCAACCTGTGGCACTGTTTGAAGCCCTTGACATTAAAGAAGTGTTTTCTGAGGTTCACGCTGTCCTTCTCATGCCCATTGCCTCTCGTCGCATCACTGAAGGAGAGTCCAGCTCCTTGCTCTTCACACCAGCCCATCAGGTACTTACAGCTGTTGATGAGATCCCCTGACCCTTCTCTTCTCCAGGCTGAGCAGTCCCAGCTATCTCAGCTCCTCATGACGTGAATGCTCCAGTCCCTTAACCACCATAGTGGCCCAGCACTGGACTTGCTCCAGAAAGGCCATGTCTTTCTTGTAGTGGGGAGCCCAAAACTGGACACAGCACTGCAGATGTGGCCTCATCGGTGCTGTGCAGAGGGAAAGGGGTCACTTCTTTGACCTGCTGGCGACACTCCTCCTAATGCAGCCCAGAAGGCTGTCAGTCCTCTCTGCCCTCCCCACATCCTCCAAGCCAGTCACCTTGTTGTGGGTTACCATATTGATAGAGCATGCAAATTTGTAAATCCAACCTGCCTACTCCTGGTCATGTTTTTCTGTTTGGAAATTGCATCCAGGGTTAGTTATTCCACCACCTTCCCAGGGATTGAGGTGAGACTGACCAACCTGCAGTTCCCCACATTTTCCTTCTTGCCCTTCTCAAAGAAAGCGCGACATTTACTTTCTTCCCATCTTCATGAACCGCTCCCAGTCACCACGACCCTTCAAAGATAATAGACAGTGACCCTGCAATTATATTGCCCAGCTCCCTCCACGCTCATAGATGTACCCTGTGAGGCCCCACAGATTTATGTCCTTTCAGTTTAAGTGCTCCTGGTCCTCACCAAGAGTGCATCTTCCTTCCTTAGTACCTTCTCAGAGGCCTGGAATTCCTGAAGGCTGATCATAGAGTAAGGAATAAGGCAAAGAAGGC